TTATTGACGGACTTTTGAATCCAGGCACATCAGCGTAGAGGGCAGAACCGTTCACAGTTTGCAAGGTATTGGCAAGGAAGTTCAGGATTGAATTGTGTCTCCACGTAAATCGATCGAGATAACACTGACATCCAGCGACCACGTGCAATAATGATTCTGGGCCAAGACAAAAGGAGCATTCTGAACTTGAAGACAATCCCCATCTGCTAAGGTTGTTGCGTGTCGGAAGAGAGTTATTTATATAGCGTATCAGGGTAAATTAATAAATGTTTTTCGGAAGTAATGATTGAGCAGTAGACCACACTTTGTTAAGATGCGACAAGGAGAACTTTGTTACACTAGAGAAAAAGGATCCCTGACAAGTTCATTGATTTTGGAGTTTATCTTCATGTTCAGAGCGAAAATCTTTAAGAGCGACTGTCTACAAAAATCAAACAAAATGAGAAATATGTGGCAAGGCTCAAAATTTTAAATTCGCTCTACTTTTGAATTTAAGTTAACTATGACAAAGTATGAAACGTCATATGGTTAGTTTTTAAAAATACTCTTTTGTTTATGAAAAAAAAGAAAAAAAATATTTCAGCTGTGAGGACCGATTTTCGCAATCGAAAATGGCCGAAATTGCGTATGTTTACTTAATCCTGGTATCCAAACCCTAAATCCAAATAGCCTTATTATACTTTCTGTTAAAGCTACATCACTCCCTCGTTTATTAATAGTGGTTTTATGATAATTGAACAACTGAACACATTTGTGCACAATAAAGAGCGACGGGTACTGATTTTTAATGTTTGTCATTGCATGTAAAAAGTGGCAGATTTCTCCATTTGCCATCCTTTCAAATCTTATGGGATTTTGCGCAAGCACTATTGGGAAACTGCCCTTTTCAGAAATGTATTATTTATTTTGGGCAAATAAATTCACACGCTTTGAGAAAGAGTTAACTTTGGTTCATTAAATATGCAAAATCACTGTTTCGCGATTGCGTGACTAAACACCCCTTGCAATCTGAAACTAACTTAAAACATCATTGTTCTTCACCTTTAGTTTAGAGAATTTGAAGAAAACATAAATATACATACCTTGAATGCAAAAAGTTCCTTTGAGCTGTTCCACTTTTGGAGTTAGCCCTAACTTAACTACATATTAACCTCAAAGTTCAAGGAGTCCAGCTAACAGAAATCAGCTAACAATGTGACGGATATTAATTAATCATGATAACAATAGCATAGCGGCGTGCGGATCGCATTTTTTCGACAATAATCCACACAAAAACAACATTAAAAATACAATGCATCACAGTGGCATTACTTTCGCCAAATCGACAGGAAGCCCGCCACCTATAATGTAAACATTTGGTGACAAATAGCTTTTTCAATATGTCAGTACAAAAATAAAATAGAATTTCTGTAATATTAACTTTGACTGTTTGTTTCTAAGAATATTAATAATTGTAAATAAAAGTAAATTACAGCAATAAAAAAAACCTCAATTCGCAATAATCCACTTAATAGAAAAAAAATATTAAAAAAGAAATGACAACATTACAGTAATACATCGCAGTGGCATTACTTCCGCCAAATCGACAGGAAGCCCGCCACCTATAATGTAAACATTTAGCTTTTTCGATATGTCAGTATAAAAATAAAATAGAATTTCTGCATCATTAATTTTGACTCTTTGTTTCTAAAAATTTTAATAATTGTAAATGGAACACGAATGGAAGTTGTGTGAATTGTTAGCTGATTTCTGATAGATTGGATTCCAAGAACTTTGAGTCGATGTATAAGGCGGAGATGTAAACAACCGAACGGTCGACAATATTAAATTCCTGGTATAAACTCCAAAAGTGGAACAGCTCAAAGAAAATTTTGCATTCAAGGTATGTATATTTATGTTTTCTTCAAATTCTCTAAACTAAAGGCGAAGAACAATGATGTTTTAAGCGAGTTTATTTCAAGGGGTTTTTAGTCATGCAATCGGACCATTCGCGTAATAGACTAAATTTTTATCTAAACAAAAATTTCATCACAGCTTGAAAGAGCATCACAAAATTAGTAATATTCCAAAATTTCGTTGCGAAATGTTGTAAAATGCGGATAATATAGCCCTGCGAAGTTTGCAATTTTCAGTCATTTTAGATTACAAACGGGAAATTGACAGCCTGTCAATTTCCCGTTTGTAATCTAAAATGACTGAAAATTACAAATTTCGCAAGGCTATATTATCCTCATTTTACAACATTTTGCAACGAAATTTTGGAATATTACTAATTTTGTGATGCTCTTTCAAGCTGTGATGAAATTTTTGTCTTGACTTGTTGAGATCAAAATTTAGTCTATTACGCAAATGGTCAATTGCCAAACAGTGATTTTTGCATATTTAATGAACCAAAGTTAACTCTTTCTCGTAGCGCGTGAATTTATTTGCCCAAAATAAATTATACATTTCTGAAAAGAGCAGTTTTCCAATAGTGCTTGTGCAAAATCTCATAAGATTTGAAACGATGGCAAATGGAGAAATCTGTCACTTTTTACACGCAATGACAAACAATAAAGATCAGTACCCGTCGCTCTTTATTGTGCACAAATGTGTTCAGTTGTTCAATTATTATAAAACCACTTTTAATAAACGAGGGAGTGATGTATCTTTAGCAGAAAGTATAATAAGGCTATTTGGATGTACGGTTTGGATACCAGGATTAAGTAAACATACGCAATTTCGGCCATTTTTCGATTGCGAAAATCGGTCCTCACAGCTGAAATATTTTTTTTCTTTTTTTTCATAAACAAAAGAGTATTTTTAAAAACTAACCATATGACGTTTCATACTTTGTCATAGTTAACTTAAATTCAAAAGTAGAGCGAATTTAAAATTTTGAGCCTTGCCGCAGTATGTTTGATTTTTGTAGAGACTCGCTCTTAAGCATTTCTTTGGTTGAGTTATAAAAGTCGTATTGGATATTAGTATGAGTATTAGTAGATTTCCACAGTTCGTTGATTGATTGATTAGGAGAAAGTTTTAAAGCTTTTCGAAGAACTGTTTGGCATTGGATAAATTTCACCGATGGAGGATAAATACTTTGACCAAATTTGTTGCGAGTTAGAAAAACAGTACTTAGCTGTGTTCCTGAGATTGGAATTTCAAGCCATTTACGGATGTACGTATTGGTTGACTACGGAATCAATATTTTCAATAACCATGTTTTAGAAAGTGTTGCGATGGTGAAATGCCACGATATTTTGGATAAGACATAACGACTGTACACGAGAAGCTTATTTCTTGGGTGGAGTGGCTTCGAGTCAATATCAGTCATTAGTTCATTAACGAGAGTTGTTAGTTCAGTCTTGTGGTTATCGTTCGACATGTTAAAATCAAAGTAACGTCCTAAATATTGAAATGCTTCTCCAATCTTTATTGTTGGTATCAGCTAGATTATTGTTGATGAGGAGTTTCGGCAAATATTGGACTGATTTTGTGATGGCTTTCTTGATGCCAAAGGTACTACATTTATCGACTCTGATAATCATATTGGACCATTGGCAGCAGATGGAAAAACGATATAAGAGATGCTGGTTTTCAGATTCTTGGCCAGTGATTACGGCTGCGTCTTCAGCGAATTGGAACCAGTGGATAGGCTTTAATAGCTTGAAGGAGAAGCCAAACTGACGGTACTTTTCAGCTTTCATATGTTGGATGAAAGTATTAAAACACATATTGAAAAGAAGAGGACTGAGGCAATCTCCTTGCAATACGCCACGGCGAACAGATATAAAAGGGGTGCGGAATTCGGGGGTAATTATTGAGGTTTGGAAATCAGTGTATAAATTTTTATAACGAATTTTATGTGTTCTGGGATGTGGTGGTAGTCGAGTACTGATTGGATGAGATTGTGGTGGACTTCGCCGAAAGCATTCTTCAGATCAAGTAAGGTGATGACAACAGAGCGTTGTCTGATGCGGGCTTTGTTAATGATGTCAGCCATTTGCGCAGTGTGTTCTAGAGTGCCAGATAGGTTAGGGGTGAAGCCCTTTTGTATGCCGTGTTCGATAAAGTTATTGGATGCGAGGAAGGAATATATTGCGTTTCGAAGACAAGATGTAAATACTTTTAATGGTATAGACTCAAGTGTTATGGGACGGAAATTTGAGGGATCATCAATGTTGTCTTTCTTATGTATTAATATAGTACAGGCTTTTTTCCATTCGTTCGGGACAGTTCCAGATAGCCAAATTTCTTGAATTAGTTCACTGAGGTAAGTTCGCAGATAAGGACATCGCTTAAAACATATTATCGAAAGCTGATCAAGGGGGCAAGGGGAGCCAGACGATTTCATTTTACGTATCACATTAGTAATTTGTTGGTAAGTCGGGGGGTCAAGGTTGAATTGAACTTCGGGATCAGATAACTTTGGAATCCAGCTGGGAATGTTAAATTAAACAGTCTATTAGGATTAATTTTAGCCAGAGATTCAGAAAAATAAGTAAAGCAATCTGTCACGTTATATGATGGTAATATTGAGTCCTTCTTATTGATAAAGTTTTTAATATAACCCCAAAAGTTCCGTCCGATATAATTGTCGTGATTGAATGATTCATTGCTGTCAGAGGTTAGCCCATCGTTGTTGTTATTACGAAGCTTATCACGCAATGTGGGGGAGACGTATTTAATTTCACTACGGTCACCTTTGTTGGATTTTAAATTTTGCAAAGCTTTCTTTAACTCCTTTACAGTATAATAATAATAATAATAATAATAATAATGATAATGATAATGATAATGATAATGATAATGATAATGATAATGATAATAAAGGAAACTTTAATAATTTTGTTATATACTATATATATACAATTGTAAATCTCACTAATTTAAGGTAAATTACAATTGGCTATTTGAATCACAACTATATGAACTAATAAAAATGATAAGACAGAATACACGAAAATATATAAATATACAAGACAATCAGGTATTTCAAATAGTTAACAAGTCCGGACTTTCCCATTCCTTATTTCGGCAGCAAAAAATATAGCATGTAGGCTACTTCGAATGGCAATAGTCATCATTTTCCTAACACAGTACGTTTGGTAGTTTTTGTCTAGACCAACATTTCCTAACATTTCTAAGAATGTAGAGCATTCTTGCGCAAAAATACCTAGGGAGCTCATGGAAAGATTTATAAAGTTTACTTCGTTAAAATTTTCGTCTAGTTGTTTTACTAGTTCTTTATATTTGGCTTTTTTCCGATTAACGTTGTTCTCGAGGTTTGTCTCATAGCCAACAGTGAGCTCGACCACATAAAGAGAGTCATTTGATAACGATAGCAACAAATCCGGGCGATACGTATCACCAGTTATTATTGAAGGACTTTTGAATCCAGGCACATCAGCGTAGAGGGCAAAACCGTTCACAGTTTGCAAGGTATTGGCAAGGAAGTTCAGGATTGAATTGTGTCTCCACGTAAATCGATCGAGATAACACTGACATCCAGCGACCACGAGCAATAACGATTCTAGGCCAAGACAAAAGGAGCATTCTGAACTTGAAGACAATCCCCATCTGCTAAGGTTCTTGCGTGTCGGAAGAGAGTTATTTATATAGCGTATCAGGGTAAATTAATAAACGTTTTTCGGAAGTAATGATTGAGCAGTAGACCACACTTTGTTAAGATGCGACAAGGAGAACTTTGTTACACTAGAGAAAAAGGATCCCTGACAAGTTCATTGATTTTAGAGTTTATCTTCATGTTCAGAGCGAAAATCTTTAAGCATTTCTTTGGTTGAGTTATAAAAGTCGTATTGGATATTAGTATGAGTATTAGTAGATTTCCACAGTTCGTTGATTGATTGATTAGGAGAAAGTTTTAAAGCTTTTCGAAGAACTGTTTGGCATTGGATAAATTTCACCGATGGAGGATAAATACTTTGACAAAATTTGTTGCGAGTTAGAAAAACAGTACTTAGCTGTGTTCCTGAGATTGGAATTTCAAGCCATTTACGGATGTACGTATTGGTTGACTACGGAATCAATATTTTCAATAACCATGTTTTAGAAAGTGTTGCGATGGTGAAATGCCACGATATTTTGGATAAGACATAACGACTGTACACGAGAAGCTTATTTCTTGGGTGGAGTGGCTTCGAGTCAATATCAGTCATTAGTTCATTAACGAGAGTGGTTAGTTCAGTCTTGTGGTTATCGTTCGACATGTTAGAATCAAAGTAACGTCCTAAATATTGAAATGCTTCTCCAATCTTTATTGTTGGTATCAGCTAGATTATTGTTGATGAGGAGTTTCGGCAAATATTGGACTGATTTTGTGATGGCTTTCTTGATGCCAAAGGTACTACATTTATCGACTCTGATAATCATATTGGACCATTGGCAGCAGATGGAAAAACGATATAAGAGATGCTGGTTTTCAGATTCTTGGCCAGTGATTACGGCTGCGTCTTCAGCGAATTGGAACCAGTGGATAGGCTTTAATAGCTTGAAGGAGAAGCCAAACTGACGGTACTTTTCAGCTTTTATATGTTGGATGAAAGTATTAAAACACATATTGAAAAGAAGAGGACTGAGGCAATCTCCTTGCAATACGCCACGGCGAACAGATATAAAAGGGGTGCGGAATTCGGGGGTAATTATTGAGGTTTGGAAATCAGTGTATAAATTTTTATAACGAATTTTATGTGTTCTGGGATGTGGTGGTAGTCGAGTACTGATTGGATGAGATTGTGGTGGACTTCGCCGAAAGCATTCTTCAGATCAAGTAAGGTGATGACAACAGAGCGTTGTCTGATGCGGGCTTTGTTAATGATGTCAGCCATTTGCGCAGTGTGTTCTAGAGTGCCAGATAGGTTAGGGGTGAAGCCCTTTTGTATGCCGTGTTCGATAAAGTTATTGGATGCGAGGAAGGAATATATTGCGTTTCGAAGACAAGATGTAAATACTTTTAATGGTATAGACTCAAGTGTTATGGGACGGAAATTTGACGGATCATCAATGTTGCCTTTCTTATGTATTAATATAGTACAGGCTTTTTTCCATTCGTTCGGGACAGTTCCAGATAGCCAAATTTCTTGAATTAGTTTACTGAGGTAAGTTCGCAGATAAGGACATCGCTTAAAACATATTATCGAAAGCTGATCAAGGGGGCAAGGGGAGCCAGACGATTTCATTTTACGTATCACATTAGTAATTTGTTGGTAAGTCGGGGGGTCAAGGTTGAATTGAACTTCGGGATCAGATAACTTTGGAATCCAGCTGGGAATGTTAAATTAAACAGTCTATTAGGATTAATTTTAGCCAGAGATTTAGAAAAATAAGTAAAGCAATCTGTCACGTTAAATGATGGTAATATTGAGTCCTTCTTATTGATAACGTTTTTAATATAACCCCAAAAGTTCCGTCCGATATAATTGTCGTGATTGAATGATTCATTGCTGTCAGAGGTTAGCCCATCGTTGTTGTTATTACGAAGCTTATCACGCAATGTGGGGGAGACGTATTTAATTTCACTAAGGTCACCTTTGTTGGATTTTAAATTTTGCAAAGCTTTCTTTAACTCCTTTACAGTATAATAATAATAATAATAATAATGATAATGATAATGATAATGATAATGATAATGATAATAAAGGAAACTTTAATAATTTTGTTATATACTATATATATACAATTGTAAATCTCACTAATTTAAGGTAAATTACAATTGGCTATTTGAATCACAACTATATGAACTAATAAAAATGATAAGACAGAATACATGAAAATATATAAATATACAAGACCATCAGATATTTCAAATAGTTAACAAGTCCGGACTTTCCCATTCCTTATTTCGGCAGCAAAAAATATAGTATGTACTTCGAATGGCAATAGTCATCATTTTCCTAACACAGTACGTTTGGTAGTTTTTGTCCAGACCAACATTTCCTAACATTTCTAAGAATGTAGAGCATTCTTGCGCAAAAATACCTAGGGAGCTCATGGAAAGATTTATAAAGTTTACTTCGTTAAAATTTTCGTCTAGTTGTTTTACTAGTTCTTTATATTTGGCTTTTTTCCGATTAACGTTGTTCTCGAGGTTTGTCTCATAGCCAACAGTGAGCTCGACCACATAAAGTGAGCCATTTGATAACGATAGCAACAAATCCGGGCGATACGTATCACCAGTTATTATCGAAGGACTTTTGAATCCAGGCACATCAGCGTAGAGGGCAGAACCGTTCACAGTTTGCAAGGTATTGGCAAGGAAGTTCAGGATTGAATTGTGTCTCCACGTAAATCGATCGAGATAACACTGACATCCAGCGACCACGTGCAATAATGATTCTAGGCCAAGACAAAAGGAGCATTCTGAACTTGAAGACAATCCCCATCTGCTAAGGTTCTTGCGTGTCGGAAGAGAGTTATTGATATAGCGTATGGTAAAGTTATAAATGTTTTTCGGAAATTTTGATTGAGCAGTAGACCACACTTTGCTAAGATGCGAGAAGGAGAACTTTGTTACACTAGAGAAAAAGGATTCCTGACAAGTTAATTGATTTTTGGAGTTTATCTTCATGTTCAGACCGAAAGTCTTTAATCACTTCTTTGGTTGAGTAATAATAATAACAATAATAATAATAATAATAATAAAAATAATAATAATAATAATAATAATAATAATAATAGTAATAATAATAATAATAATAAAAACAACAAAAATAATTATAATAATAATTATTATAATTATAATAATAATTAAATTCAATTGGCTCTTCTATCACTAAATTAACTAATCTATATTAACAAGTACTATATTAACATATCTGATCGGTTAGATATAGAATTACCATTCGAATTTAATTCTCTAACAGATGTTCTTTTTGATTCACGAGCGGTCAGGTCATTGACAATCTGCCATGTCTTTCGAGAATTGCCATTGTGTTGCATAAATGCATTTCTACAGTATAATTAGACTCTTTAGCGAATTTAATTTCCTTATTCACAACATTTCACAATCTTTCAAAATTGTTCCAATCACCAGGAACAGTACAGTGTATTGCTTTTATTTTGGCAAGCGTTTTTCTTTAATTTATTTGTTATTTATTTATTTATTATTTTATTATTAATTAATTAATTATATTAATATATTTTTTATATGTATGTATGTATATATATATATATATATATATATATATATATATATATATATATATATATATATATATATATATATATATATATATATATATATATATGTATATATATTGAAGAGTGCTCAACACCAATATTGGCAGAGCTTTATAATTGTTGTCTTTTCTACTTAAAATTAATGAAGTCGCAACTCCGAGTTTCACGTTTTCACGATCTTCAGACGACGATGTATGTTCAACCACAGAGTAAATACATATACAGAGCTGCAACTGACCGTTGTAAACACTGCGGAAGCTTCCGTTTCCATGTACCCACTTTTTTTTCAGGCGACCGGGCAAAAAATGATCAACTGTGCGTTCTCGGCAAGTTCCGCGAGCAGTTAAAGCGAGTCGTGATCCAATCAGATGCATGCATCTAGTAACTTGCCGAGCATGCGGACAAAAAAGTGGGTACGCTAGTTACAACTCTGTGCATGTATCTACTCTGTGATTCAACTTACTTTCCCTGCTTGGTGACGTTGATATCCGTTGTAGCCTACTGCTTGCGTGAGTGAGTTTGCTTGCGTGATTGAGCTTGCGCACGTTCAAACTTTCCGGCCAAGAATCTTTTTGGTGCGCGCATTTCGAGAACAACTCGCGTCTCCTATTCAGCAAGTTTGACTTATCCGCTTTTAGAATACAAAGTTTCTCTTGGAGGCAAAGGTTACATCTCTTTCCACCGCTGGAATACGAGGCTGCTGGTTTCAGGATAGACCAATTAATCGTGAAGTCATTCTGCTTTTCCTTTAAGTTCCACACGTATTTTGAGAGCTGTGTATTGTTCCTGTATGTAACATTATTGAATGATTTATTGTGGTTATTCAAGAAACGGTTATATATAACCATCCCATCGTGGGATATAAGAAGCCACGTTGCGACGTCACTCACGTCAGATCACCCCTGATTAAGACATTGGACTGGAGTGTCGAAATGTTGGGTTGTGAATGCTACATCTGGAATGTGCATTCATTTATAAAAGAACAGAGAAGCGAGCGAAAACTTGACTGACACTACACCCGGTTGCTGTGAACTCACAATCTTTAAATTTAATATATAGTTTCTGTGAATGAACTTTAAATCGAATAATAATTATGTGCTATTTATTTCCAGCTGTTCCGTTGGAGTTCATTTTCTACGCGAATGCGACACATGTTATGTACGTGCCATCAAGTGGTGGAGGAAGTACAGTCATTCGTTCCGCAACTAATGCCAAGTTAGGTTACGATGCTACTACAAGAAGACTCTATGTTGTCGAAGGTATATCCTTATTCTCGATGAAACTAGATGGGTCTGATAGCCAGGGAATGTTTGAAATTGGAGGAGGCGTTAAAAGATTCAGTGTGGATGACATTTATGAAAAGATCTATTATATTGCCAGGGCAACTGATTACACGAACTTAAGAAACTTTGATGGATCAAATTTTACAGAATTGCTTGGTAGAGGAAATGATGATCTTACTGATATTCAAGTCGACTCTACGATGAAGTAAGTATGGTTCGGGTTGGGATTAATCCTAGGGTTGGAGGTTAGAGTTAGGTTTGGGAATAACACTAGGGTTAAGACGCGTACGATAGAAATTTTCTACTTATATGAAAATTTTACATGGTACTTCAAATATGAAATTATATCTGTGGAATAAACTTTACCGTTTATTGCACTTTGCCCCAATGGTCTCGTTCTCATGGTAATCATTTCCTTATGTTTTGAACACAATAAAGTTCAATAGGCTTGTGATTGGGCTTAAGATCAAAGAGAAACATATTTGTGGGCTAAACATCGGGCGCCATGCTACAACAGGCAAAGATGGAGACGAGGGTGTTGAGGAAAAAGTGGTTCCAATAAACGATAAAATTCCACGTCTGAAAATAACAAAATAAACATTTCATGTGAAATCTAGAATTTGTACATATGAAATTTGATTTAGTGTATATATTGTATTTTTTTTCATTATCGTCTAGCTTGTTATTCTTCGCCGCCGATGAATCTTTGGAGAGAGATTTAGTTGTTTATAATATTACCTCTGGAGGAGAAGCGAGGACATTATACAACGCCAACAGTTCATCTATCAGGCTGACAATCGACAGACTGAACCAGATAATTTACTGGATCAGTTATAACACTGAAAGTAATAGTTTGATGTTGCGAAAGACAGACTACAATGGCAACACTACGGTTATTACCGGTTCATTCGCACAATCTGGACGACCTGCTATTACCCAGATTGGAGACTACTATTACGTGCTTGATTCAACTCAATCCATTATTCGTAAATACGATAAAGCGACCGATACAGTTGTTCAAAGTATCACTGTTTATGGTGGGGCAACTGAAATAATTGGCGCTAACGGTAAGGGTATTATTGGAATTACGGTACTACACCAGACATGAGTCCCTAATTTCCTCAATGTACTCCATGTATACTAAGCCCTTGATGCCGTGTGCGGTAAATCGCGTACCGACATACTGGAGGGACGCCAATTGGCACCTAGCCGACTGCAGACTACATGCGGGAGCATGCTGGAAAACTCAATTCAAATGATTACTTTCAACTCATCGCAGCCAATGAGTTGGAATGTTCTTTTTCGTAGTGCCGACTGCGATAGGGTTTTCATCGAATTCATCGAATTTTGATTTTGTACATCATGCAGGTTTTGTAAATTCCGACGTGATGTGATTCTAAAGTCGTACTGCAAAATAGGCTAGAAAACTTTCATACGGAAGCTGTGGTCGTGTTGTTTATTCTCGAACTGTTGCTCCGCGCGGGAGACGACATCCGTACTCTACCAAGTTCATGTCCAAATTAATATTTAACCGTATTCTATGCTAGACTAACTTAAAGTAGCTAATAATATTACGATCTGTTACTTTTTTCATTTCAGCCAAGAGCCACACACATATTGTAGTACACTGTTTTTCTTCTGATAATATACCTCAACGAAAACTCATTCAGCTAACCTCATGATACTTTTTTTCTTACTAGACCTGGACGAGTGTACCCAAGATCCCTGTGATCCATTGGCGGACTGTACAAATATTATTGCCGGATATTCTTGTGTTTGCCAGTCTGGTTACACTGGAAACGGGAGTGTCTGTAACGGTAGGTCGATAATTACTATTATTGTTAGTATACAGTATATTAATAATATACAGTCACACCCATTGCAAAGTATTAGTTGCGGCAATGTAGCGATAATATAGCAAAAGCAATAAGTGTAGGTTATTTTGAGGCAACGAGGGGATATGTGATTTATTCGCAGAGGCGCTCAGCGCCGAGGTGAATAAACACATATCCCCGAGGGGCCTCAAAATAACGTACTTATTTTTTTCACATTGCGAGGTCGCGTTAGTGAATCAGAATAGAAATAATTCTTAATGCCATATTGCCTTCGTGACGTTGTTTTTTCTCATTTTTTGTGCTGCAAATTAAGACATTGCAGGGGAATATTAGAGGGGATTATTAGAGGGGATTATTAGAGGGGATTATTAGAGGGGATTATTAGAGGGGATTATTAGAGGGGATTATTAGTGGGGATTATTAGAGGAGATTATTAGAGGGGATTATAAGAGAGGATTATTAGATGGCAGCATTTCGAGGGTGTAGCTCTGTTGGGGAAGGGCGCGCAAGTCGGCTTACCACAAACTCCACCATGCTAGAATGGCTCATATGTAATGTAACATAGGCGTTAATGTGATGGCTCATATGTAATGTAACATAGGCATTAATGTAACATAGGCGTGAAAAATTTTTTAAACTTATTAATGTATAGATAACTTTTTTGTAAATCTGATGAAGCTACCGTGCTTAAATAAAGATTTGACTGAGTGACTGCTCAAACTTAGGGAAGCGTCCAGTGATCTTTTCAACATGTGCAAACGATGGCGAAAATTGAGCAGTTCAACGCCATCCTCCAGTAGGGATTCGTTGCACGAACCTTCTCCAAAAACGTCGATAGCCCCATGGTGCGAAACATACATGAATTAAGAAGTGCAATCAAGCATGCTGATTGCCGCGCAGTTGATTGATTCTTAGCAACAATTGGAAAATTTTGTACACTAATCGTCAGGATTGAAGAAGCCGCAGCTGAGACAATGCATGAACTTGGCTCCAACGCTTGCTGGTTGCTGACTGCTTGCTGATGCTCAAGTTTACTGATACATGGTCATGGACTGGGCCTACAGCCCAAAATCAGGGGTTTGAAAACGTGGTTGCATGGTTGTTGAGACAGGAGGTTACACTACGAGAGTATCGATTGACAAATGTTATTGCGGAATGCGTATGGTAACGCATTCACCGTCGCCTACGATGAATTTTCTGAAGAAGGTGGAAAAGAAAGCCACATGTTTGGTAACAATGTGGACCACGTCTTCACAAACCAGGTGAAATAAATAATCCGAGAAGTACCAACGTAAACTCGAAGTAAAAAGACAGGACGGGTCAACTTGTTCGGCCGCAACCGTAGCAGTTAAATTAATTTGATGCTAGCCCGCTCGAAAATTCAGCGATATTTCCCATTGAAGTGACGTCTTGGCTGGTTGCAGGCATTGACTAACAGCTGGAGATTCGTTGTTTAAATGGCCATAACGCTATTGGTTGGCCGCCAGCATGCATAACTGAAAGACATGAATCCGTGTTGCGTACGTAGCAGTTTTGCGAAAATGAAGGGAAAACATATGATAATGGCTGCATTGTGCTGCATTGAGTGTAGTCAGTTGCTGTACTATATTGTGTTCTTGTGTATGAAGTTCGCTCTTACTAAATGAGAGTTGAAATAAATGCATTAAACTTATAAAAAATACGCGGATTTTGTAGGATTTTCTTTCAAATGTGCAGGCAGAAATTCAGCTAAAATTTCAGCGCGGGGAAGAGACCAAATTTCACAATCTTAATTCAAAAACGAATTGATCCATATATCAGGCAAGCTGAATGACTGCCTCTTTCGTTTGGTATTGTCACGAACACATAAGTAAGAAACCTTCCAAACACTACAGAAACAAATACACCCATTCTACTTGATCAATTCACATATTTTTGTTTCTTGCAGATATCGACGAATGTATTGAGCTAGATTCCAACCCCTGCTCAAACGGCTCCTTTTGTGTCAACGAAAATGGCACATATCGCTGCGAATGTAATCCCGGTTACAACCACAATGGCACACATTGCAATGGTAAGTATATTTAGATATAAAGTAGGACACATCGGGCGTAATGCAACCTAATCGGTTACCCAGACACGTTGTCAGACAATCCGGTTAACCGGTTAAATGTCAGCGTTCTCCCCTTGACGAGCAAAATCGTCTGGCGTTTTAAAGTGAGTATAAAATAATAATTGAATATTTGATTGATTGGTTAATTAAGGAACTACGAACAATTTTGGCCCAAGGTGGTTATCACACTGCTCACTATTCAGGCCACAGCTTTAGAATCGGAGCGGCTACCACAACTGCGTTCGAAGGTTTGCCTCATTGGCTTATTGAAACGCTAGGAACAGGGTCTTCCTATATATTGTTACCTCAGATATATTCGTTCGCCAATCAAAGTCCTTACAGACGTTTCGAAACGATTGATTGCGGAGTGATTGCGCTGGGTATGGAAATTATGAAATACACACTCGAGAGAACATTTTCTACTTATCATATTACGGAGTGAACAATAACACAACATAACATAACACTTGCAGAAATAGTATGGTTCGATGCTGAATTAATATAAACTAGTATGTTTATGACATTCAGTATATAGTTCATAATTTCCAGTATTAAATCCGTCTGACCGTGTAGTTCAGTTGGTAGAGCGTCGATATAGTAATTCGAAGGTCGCGGATTCAAGACCCAGCCGCAGCAGACAATATCTTTCTGCTTGCGCTGGGTATGGAAATTATGAAATACACACTCGAGAACATTTTCTACTTATCATAATTATTACGGAGTGAACAATAACACAACATAACATATATATATATATATATATATATATATATATATATATATATATATATATATATATATATATATATAAATCAATTTAAAAATCAGAGACTATGCAATTCGACCATCAATTTATTAAAAAAACTAAAACATACTAAAATAAAAGCTTAAAAGTTAAAAACATTGCGGTCTTCAACAGAACTGCCGAAATGTTTTTAACTTTTAAGCTTTTATTTTAGTATGTTTTAGTTTTTTTAATAAATTGATGGTCGAAGTTGCATAGTCTCTGATTTTTAAATTGATTTATATATATATATATATATATATATATATATATATATATATATATATATATATATATATATATATATATATATATATATATATATATATTTATTAACTTTACAACCATACATAAAATAGACTAAAAAACTACATAATATGGTTGAAGGTATGGTCAACAGGACATGAATAGCCCCATATGAAGACCAACCTTAATGAAAACAAACTATAACAAACATAAATCAAAGACGATAACAAGTATAAAATTTACAGAAAACATGACGAATTACGAACAACAGCTTAAGTTGAAAGAGCGGCACTTAGAACAGAAGGTTTTCCAAGTGCGCATTCTGTTTACATCGAAAGATGAATGAAGCAGAGAAGAGTAATGAACAGTTAGTCTGTTTTTAAAGGAGGAAACGGATGAACTATTACGAATGGTAGGAGAGAGATTATTCCAAAGAAAGACAATTCGGTTGAAAAAAGAGTTCCTAAAGAGAGAAGTCCTGCAATGATTGACACGAATCAAGTTGTCCGAACTTGAACGGGTGTGAGACGAGCTGCTTGAAGAAAAAGTGACGAAAGAGGAGATATCTAGGTCGAACAGACCGTGCTTACATTTAAAAAAGAAGACGAGATCCTTTAGTTCCATCCAGTAGGATATTGGTAATAAATTAAGCTTTTTAAGGCGTTCAGGATATGGCAACTCATAATCCTGAAGGATAAATTTACTAGCTCGTCTTTGAACACCCTCGATGATCAATATGACTACCATATGACAGATGAGATCGGACGAGAGCAAGATAAAGAAGCCTACGGCAGCGAATATCAGACATTTGCGTACAATTCCTACGAAGAAAACCAAGCATACGATTGCCTTTTGCAGTGCAGCTGGCGATGTGAGGGGACCACTTTAGGTCATTGCTGATAACAACACCCAAGTCTACTTGGTTAGCTATGCTCTTAACTGGATCGTTGTTAAGAAAGTAGCAATGAGTTGGAGGGTTACGTTTGCGAGATATCCTAAGTAGGAGCGTTTTCGAGACATTAAATTTCATTTTCCAGTTAAGTGACCAGTTGGACATAGCGTCCAGGTCAAGCTGAAGGAGACCACGATCAACTGGTGATCGTATAGCACGATAACACTTGCTGTCATCAGCAAAAAGTGCAACGGTACTATTATTGGTTACCTCGGGAAGGTCATTTACATAAAGAATGAATAAAAGTGGACCTATTACACTACCTTGTGGCACCCCAGAGGTAACATTAAGAAAAGATGAGGAAGCTCCTTCAATGACAACACACTGTTTGCGATCACGAAGGTAATCAGCAAACCAGTTAAGAAGTGGACCTGAGATTCCAAACGATTTGAGTTTGAACAAAAGTTTGCTATGGGACACCGAGTCAAACGCTTTAGCAAAGTCGAGATAAATCAGGTCTGTTTCCTTTCCAGAGTCAAGAGTACGACCAAGGTCGTGAAGTACACTCAAAAGTTGAGTAACACACGACCTTTTACAACGAAAGCCGTGTTGAAGGTCGTACAAGGAGTTTTCAACAAAAGAAGAAACCTGCCTGAAAATTAAACGTTCGAGAACTTTTGAGACTTGAGAGAGTAAGGAAACTGGTCTGTAGTTAGTGACCTCATGAGTGTCACCCTTTTTGGGTATAGGCACGACATTAGCAGCTTTCCATTCAGAAGGAAAAACACCCTGCTGAAGAGATAACTCAAAAAGAGCAGTCAAAGAAGGGGCAATTACCTCAGAACATCGCTTTAGAAGGTAAGCTGGAATACCATCTGGACCAGTAGCCTTAGAGGGTGACAAATTGGATAACAAAGACTGAACGTCGGATTCAGATACGTTTAATGAGTCAAGAGAGTTGGAAGCTGGACTAGAGGGGGTATAAGGGGGTGAAGAACTTGTGTCAGAGGTGAAGACTGACGTAAAAAATTTGTTAAAGCCATCCGCTTTTTCTGACCTTTATATATATATATATATATATATATATATATATATATATATATATATATATATATATATATATATATTTATATATCGTTTGGCATTAACCATACCAAATATCAAAAGTATACAAAGATATATATATATATATATATATATATATATATATATATATATATATATATATATATATATATATATATATAATTAACAATTATGCCATGAGCTCGAGTCGTGTATGAGCCGACAGCCATCAGCTCATATACGACGGGAGGGAATGGTATAATTGTTTTATAATATAGTCTAATAGTCATTAGTATAAACCTACTAATAGGCTATCATGTATCGTGCGTTCTGATTGGCTACGCTGCTAGTAGGCTATTAGTGATAGCCTACTAGTAGCAACAAGCGGCGAAGGGGACGAGAATCAATGGCCGTTTTTAAGAACTAAAAGCTGCATTTAAAGGGGAAAAGTTTATCAAAATGGCCTAATTTTGGTTCTGGATTACACACAAACAAAGACTCTTGGAAACTGCTGACAAATGCGGTAAAATTTTTAAAGTTTTTTCAAGTTTGGTCGTTGTTTTGAACATGAAAGTGACAGGCGATTTTTTAAAATATGTGCACAATGTTTCCTTATATTCCAAGCAGAATCGTTGAAATTCAACAATACTTTGTCTTTGTAGCTATTTACCCCTATTTTCTCAACCTCTTTAGTGTGTGCTTGTATAAGTACGAGTTCATGTATTTAGCTGTCATTTTAAAGAGTTTTTTTTGTTTAAATGTTGAGATTTTGGCCGAGTTTGTTTTTCGCCTTTTCGAGCCTTTTTAAGTCGAGTTTTTCGATTAAACTTTAATCTAAACTATTGTCTACATATGTATACTAGATTATGGAAATGCTTTGCCTCTTTATGTTCCAGATATTTTAAAGATTTCAACGACCTTCGGATAAACGGATTCTTTTGCATGTGTGTGCATTTTTATTCGGCTTTTTAACGTAAACTTACTAATTTTGTAACTATTCGGGAAGCCATTTTGTGTTCGAAATTTTGGACTTTTTAAACCTTGTTTCCTTCTTTTAAATAAGTTTTAATTAACTAAACTTTGCTTCTATAACGGTCTCCTGTTTACGACATGTTTTTTAACTTTTTAAAACTCACAAGTTGTATTTTTCAAGTCATTCTTGGGAGTTCGCAACACTGACTATATAGTTGTCAACGAGGTTGTCAACAAAGCCGAGGCGAAATGCGCCAAAGGAAGCCATTTAAACGCTCATTTCGTTAAAACGTTATTATTTTACATAAAAAACAAGTGAAAATTCCGTTTTCTTTATGTGGTTTATACTAAAACAATTAGACAACTCAGCCTCGTTGTCTCTGAACGAATAGTCAACTCGGCTTCGCCTCGTTGACTATTCGCTCATAGACAACTCGGCTTCGTTGTCTAATTGTTAATTAACTGAAGAAATAATTAATTATCCTCTGTTACAATGTCTTGACAATTTGTTCGGGCAAAAACCGCTTGGCCTTGAAATTTTGAAATACTTTTGTTTTACAACTCGAAGACGAAGTGAAAGAAATGGTTTTAGAACCGGTATATCTAACAGAAAAGCTCAGATATATTATACAGATGTTTAGTAGTATAGTAAGTGCTTGTTGACTGCAAATTCATTTGTCTTGCGTTGCAAACTTTTCTGAACAATTTATATTCTCAATGAACACGTTTTTTCACTGTTGTTTCGGTATTAAATCTTTAAAAAAAGTTGTATTTAAACTAATTTCTATGTAACAAATGTATTTTCCTAACCTGTCAAATTTTTTTGAGAGTTTTTCCTTGTACTATTATCTTTCTCAAAGCGAATATTTTTCTTTTTTCTACTTTCACCAACGCATCCAGACATTCGAAGAGTATCATGGGGCCAGAGTGCTCAAACAACCCGAAGGAATGTGCTTTGCATTATTGCGATTGGACTCCCATTAGCTTTACAGCGTGCTAAACAACACCAAAGTGAGGCAGCGTATTAGTACAATCTGCGGACATGCATGTTTCGGCGGTCTACGTCTCGTCAGTGCAGCTTGATACACGTCTAGATACGTGATGAAATCCGGGTATATACACATGCAATTGCTCTCACCAAGCGCATGTGATATATTATATTATATATATATATATATATATATATATATATATATATATATATATATATATATATATATATATATATATATATATAGATATATATATATATATATATATATATAAATATATTGCACTTGTTCTGCCGATATTAAAAAATGCTTTTTGCCATTTTTTACGAGATGTGCAATTATCATGCACATCTGACGTGTAAGTACATGCATTTCCTAAACAAGAAGGCATAATTAATTTTTTTTTGTTTACAAAATATAAATTATGCTTGATATATTGCTTTATTGTGTCTGTTAATGACCAACTTAGCGCGGATTATTACATGTAAAATTGGCAAAGATATTTAGGTAATTACTGCATGGTTATGACTTATTGGTATTATATTCAGTTTTTATGGTGGTATGTTTGTGGAGTTTCGCCCTGCTGATTTCACTCGTAGATAATTAATTATTTAAAGTCATCTTTATTGCCATAAGTACTGCTAGATTGTGCAGAAAACCTCTCTCCTCCGCAGAGCCTCCTTAAGTATTTACAAATAACTTACATGAATTTTCCTGAATAAAAGTGAGCGCGCGCGGTGTGATAGGAAGATTGAAATGAAGTTTGGGAGGCTCTGGCAGATAATGCGACGAAGTATGGTTTTTGAACCAAACTAGTTGTTTAAATTTTTTTAAACTTGAAATCGACGGAAATGTGAAAGAAATTGAAATGAATCTTCATAATCTGAGTATCAAAGTTCAATAGAGTCATTTTTATAAAGAAATGTTGCAATTAAGAGGATATTTATAATTAGATAGCTCGTATCCATTGATATTCGTTTGCAATTTCTCAATATTTTTCGATGCAAATGGACAGAAGAAGATATTGATATTGAATTCACTCCAGGATACTCAAGTACGCCTGAAAATGAAATTCGAAAACATGTTTTAACACCCCCGATGGTTGATCGAACTTCGCTACAAACGATTATACACGACGCCATATTGATTGCATTAACACGCAGAGGCTTCCTTTATTTAGCTCTTCCCATCACTCCTTGCGCGCTCACTTTTCCCTCACTAGAAACTTCATGTAAGCCTCTGCGGAGGAGAGAGGCAGAAAACAGTGCACATACTTGAGGAAACTTTATATCATACCCAAATATTCGCGATGCGAATAAGAATTATATTTACGCTATTTCCAATAACGCACTTTCAATGAAGCAAAAGAAACGAGTTCAAATGCAATTTTTAATGTTTTATAGCTATATGCTTGTTTTATAGATTGATGAACGTGAGTAGAGTAGTCATTAAAAATCGGAGACTTCGTCATTAGATAAACATAAATATATACAATGATAATATGATTCGCCAACATTTATTTATTCGGATGTTTAGACATAGAGGAATGTGAAAATGGCCATGATTGCCACGTGAACGCTACATGTACTAATACTGTTGGGTCGTATACTTGTGCTTGCAATAACGGCTTTTCGGGAAATGGTACTATCTGTGAAGGTATGTATTTAGACATGACATGCAGTCACTCATCCAGGAATGTATAGTAACACTTTTCGAGTGGGATTAAGGGGAACAGTATGTTTTGTGGATCCTAGGCTGTCACCAAACATATTTTCGGACGGTCCCGGCCAATATTATACCAATTGGCGTGGAGGAAAACAAAACAAAAAACAAAATTTAGGAACGAAAAAGCTACATAATTCTTACTTCATAAAGAATTTCACGAGCTTCACCTGAAACACTCTTATCTAGTAGCCTAAGATGCAAAAGTAGAGGAACTTTCGTACTCGATATGTAATATTTTCAGGATTTTTTCAGGTTTTTTAAAAGTAGGGACTCGTATACTGTTAGTCATTATTTGCACTCCTTCCCTTGTGATTACCTGCTGAAGGAGACCAGATTGTTTCAGAATTTTTCTGATTGTTTCTGAATTTTTTTCTTTCTACAAATTATGTAATAATATACTCCAGATAATGGTGGGTTTGCAATTTCAGAACCGAGTACAAAGTGAGAAAAATCAAATTTCTTATCCTGCGCACATTTTAATTGCAATGCCTAATCTTTCCATTATTCAAAACAACCAATTCAATCATTTTAGTGAACTAGATACTGTAGGTTATTAATTTACAGAACGACGGTAGTATACTAGCCAAAGTGTATTTTTGACAACACCTCAAGACATCAATCTCAATTTTTTTAGATCTGCAATGCTACATAGAGTGGATATATTTAGCGACCGCATCTGAAATTTATGTTATCGTTCATGGATCGAACATCGCGACCCTGACAATGGCTACAAATGCGAAATTGGAATATGACAGACTGACTAAAAGAATGCTGTATTTTACTGAAGATGGCAATACATTATACACCATGAAATTGGATGGGTCTAATAAAACAGTAATTTCAACTGGTATTCAAATGGACGCTTTTACCATTGATTATACATCGCGATTTATTTATTACATCAGCCAACTTGATAACGATTTGAAAGGATTTCCATTGTCGGACAGCTCGAATATTTCCGATCTGATCCTTAATTTAGGCAGCGTAAAGGATCTTGATTTTGATGGAATGTCTCGGTAAGTTTTTCAATGTAACTCCTGCTTAATTTTAAGTCAGAATATACAAATTATATTGATACCTTGTTGTATTTGTTAACGCAGAGCTACAATCTGTGACAAAATACGTGAGCCGTTTATGCTGGGATTGTAACATAATCCTCCTCCCCCCTGTTCAAATAAAAATTGGCATTTTATTTGAAGTAGGCTTTGTGCGGTATCACGTTGGTGATAACTCTACCAGAACATACAGAAACATTGAAATGGGGGAGGGGGGTTTTACATGTTATTTTGGCTATTGTTTACAAAAATAACCTTCCAACCTAAGTGTCCCATGCATCTTTCAATCTCGATTGTAGACTCTCTTCTCACTAGGCTGATTCAAGATTTTTATCTGGACCTCACTGGTGCTTTAAGGTTACAGAACACCTTTGAGTGTTAATTTTGCCTAAAATTTTTTTATTGGTTTCCATGAAAGCATTAGACTAGTTCTACTATCTGACCAAGTTTGAACGAAAAATGTTGAAAACGTGCAGAATTATTTAATAAAATACATTTCGCTGCAATAAGAAAAACATTGAAAATGTAATATTCAAATTCAATTTTCTCCCGAAGAATTTTACGGTAATTACTGATATTCAAACGAGTTGTTCTCCGGCGGGTCTTAACCAATTTTTCTCAAATTTCCACAGCACATAGCCCTAAAGACGTCAGTTTCAAAATTGTGTTCGGCTTTTTTATAATTTTGGATATTTTAATAATAAACAGCAAATTCACTCAAACAATTCAGAAATATATTGCAGTCGTCCAAGAATTCGCCATATCAGCGGAATGACGAAATAAACAAAAATTTCCGAACACAATTTTTTAGAACAACTATTTTACGGTATAAAAATGATATTTTCATAAATATAACTTAAAACCAGCAGGAGCACAACTCAAAGCGTAACGGTACCGCGATTTAAGATTTTCTTGAATAATTCTTACATTATTTTATTGTTCGTTAATTTTACAACTTTTCCATATTTTGCATGCACTGGCGAACATTTGGTGAAAATTTGATTAAAATCGGACTGATATTAAGCGCGCAGTAGCGATTTTCCGCAAAAACGCCAAAAAGGGTGGCCTGTAACCTTAATGATCATTGCCGTGTATTTGAGTTGGTGCAAACTTAAGGCACAGTTTTCTAATAGGTATTCATTCAGTAATCCGAAACTACGTATAAAAGAACGAGCGCTATACACACTGATACAATTGAGTAGAAGGGCCTACTCTGGGACCTTAACTCGCCTTAACTCGCATTATCTCGCCCTATCTCGCAATAGAAATTGATCTAATTTTGCTTAACTCGCCCAATCTCGCCTTATCTCGCAATGAGAAGTTGACAGAATTTTGCTTAACTCGCCTAAACTCGCCCTATTTTGCAATAAAAACCGGCACAGTTTCATGTCAGTAAAACACAAATACTGTCAATCAAAATTCTTTAGACTTACAATACTCACTTATATATTCTATATGAGTTTGGCATTGCAATTGACATCAACATACAAGTATGTAAGCCTGATTATCTGAAATTTTATCATATTTTTAATTTACTACATTCTCTGTAATGCCATAAAGCTGTGTTGATCAAATAATTCCACCAACCACTCTACTTTAATACAGTAAGCAGGCCTTAGCAGGCATACTGTATACAGTAATACCCAGTATTTAATAAATCACAGTGAAAATAATTGAACATAATATTAACAGAACCCAAACTGTCAAGTATGGTTGAAAATTAATATTCCCATATATACTAATATGCAGATCACTTATCTATTCTATTTCAACTATACAATGATATCAAAACATCAAAAGTACTTGCTTAGCTTTTATGCAGCTATCACATGACCATCAAATTTTACTCTTAAATTTAAAAATACTGTTATACTTGTAGTATAAAGGTCTCTGTGATATCAACATGCAGCTCAAACTGCAAAGTTATTCGTTGAACTGTTTTTACATACAACCGGCAACAGAGCTACTGAACCAACGATACGCGCAGAATTTTAGGAGAAATATTTTAATACACAATCACATTCACAAAATTCGTGAAAATATAGATTTACAGTAAAAGCAAAGTTAAAGGTGAATATTGTAGTAAACATACCGTGCTTGCCTGTCTGTGACCAACATTAAATTTAGTAGAAACAATTTGTAGTGACAAGGCTTTTTGAATCTATCATAATACATGAATATTAAAACATGATAAAAAACTTTAAAATGTCGATGCATATCCCGCCATATTGCGTTTGCGGAATCGAATGATTATTATGATTCTGACTTATAGACTGCGTAGACCCCCCCCCCGACCACAGAGGAATTACCGCGATGATGGGAAGGAAGATTCCGTTTACCAGGGGAGGGCGGGATGCTGTCTGGGAACAGATATTGAAAATATTGCTCCCTTCAGCGGAAAAATTACAATCTGCTTGCAATACTTAGTGTTAGTGTTAATGAGAGGCGGTGAATTCTGAATATAAAAGCTTGATAGGAAATAGGAATATATATTATTAAACAATAATACAGTTTTATATATAACCGTTGGTTATCATTTAATATATTGTGGTTCGAAATTTCGTTAATTAAAATAGTTATTAAAGTGCTAAATTTAATAGTAAATAATCTATAATTTCCTAGCATGCTTTTTAGTTTCTCTTTGTTTCATATCAATGTTTATATTAAATTAAATTAAAAATTGAATACAAGGACTGCTGCTTGCAAACAAATTCGAACCTAATTGATAATGTCATGATTCATAATGCCTCAAATTATACAATTTGGCATCTGGGTACCAGCCTCGTTTTGATGCAACTTGTTTCCAGGTCCTGAGTTATTGTGCATATCATGTATGTATTGTAGAATATATAATAAAACACTTTTCTAGGCCTGCTACTTCAAGTACTGCATACTTGCTTTGCATAATGCACAAACAAAGCAAAATATATAGTGTGTATACAATATCCAGATTTTTCCTTAACTCGCCTTATCTCGCCTTAACTCGCCTTATCTCGCCTTAACTCGCAAGGGTCAGTAGCCAGATTTTTCCTTAACTCGCCCTATCTCGCCTTAACTCGCATAGGCTCGCCTTATCTCGCGGCGAGTTAAGGTCCCAGAGCAGGCCTGTAGAAGTAATCGCTTATTTCTATTTCATCTCGTCAATCCAATCATGTTTCCTGCCAAGACATTTCCTTGCAATGCGCGTCATAGGGTACCAGTTGAATGTAAAGTATTCGGGTGGTGATAGTGCCGCGTACGGCCTACGTGGTACTTGTCTGAAAACAAAGAAGTACCAGAACGTTCTTCCGGTATGGAAGTACGTGAATCATTGTATAGTGTATAAAACACGCACAATATCGTTCATATATTCTCACTCTACTTTACTAAACAACGTGCAAACTAGAACTACCCAGTACCCATAATACACCCCAAGCATCATTAATGTCCTCAGTGTTCCTGTCGTTACTACTTACGTCACAGGACACTATATCCCTCCTTTTACCTGGAGTTGGTGTCAATGCACTTGTCTGATATTTACGAAACACAACCAGACTTATTGGACTATTAAATATAAAGAAATCAGTTAATATAAACGAATATTATTGTTAAGTTCAATCAGCTCTGTCCGCAATAGTCCAGTGGCTGTCTAGCCCGTTTTGGTCTTATACTGACCTCGTTCTGCTTTTCATGTTTCTTCTCTTCGCTGACCTGTTGTCCGCAATTTTGGAGTCCTCTTTTCTTAGCATCCATCGTCTTTTCCATCAGGAATCTTACGTATCATACTTTCATTTCTCATAATCTGTCGTTCAAAGGGTCGTTTCAGTAGCACACTGGGCCCTTTCTTTTCTTCGACAATGTACGGCTTTGGATCATAGGTCGTCGACAATTTTGTTTGCCGAGGTTGACGGAGAAGCACCGTATCTCCCTTTTTCACGTCGGACGATGAAGCTCGGTTGTGGTCATCAGCGTAAGACTTTATTTTCTCTTTTCTTTCGCGATCATGTTGACGAACTGTTACTGGTATGTCATCAGCTGGTGTCGATGTTGGTGGCACGGGTATTTTATTTCTAATGTGACGGCCAAAAAGGAGAGTTGCAGGTGGTTTCCCGGTTGTACAGTGGGGAGTTGAACGATAATTCAGTAGGAAAACGTCAAGTTCTTCTTTCCAAATTTCCCTTCGACGTTCGCTGCACGTATTGCTTTTTCTACAGTTCGGTTAAAACGTTCTACTTTGGAGTTTGCCTGGGGCCAATAGGGTGTGACTTTACGGTGTACAATACCACAATTGGAAAGGTATGTACCAAACTCAGCGGAGGTGAATTGTGGTCCATTAGACACCTTAAGATTGACGTTTACGGCAAACGTCAAACCGCTAACAAAATTTTTGATTTTACAACTCTATTATAACAGCTTTTAAACCAGTTTTGAAATATATCAAACAATTATTAAACTTGTGGTATTTAGCAATGATTTAAGAAAGCAAATTAACCACTAGTCACGAATTGACCAAAGCAGTAAATTAAGATTTGGCGTTTGAAGTTTACGTTTGGCGTATAAATTTCATGCTTGAACTGCTACGAAGGCTTGTAGTCGTTAAAGCATGAAATTTATACGCCAAACGTAAACTTCAAACGCCAAATCTTAATTTACTGCTTTTGTGAATACGTTACTAGTGTTTAATTTGCTTTCTTAAATCATTGCTAAATACCACAAGTTTAATAATTGTTTAATATATTTGAAAACTGGTTTAAAAGCTGTTATAATAGAGTTGTAAAATCAAACATTTTGTTAGCGGTTTGACGTTTGCCGTAAACGTTAATCTTAAGGTGTCTATTGTCAGTAACAATTTCGTGCGGGATTCCATGGGTTGCAAATGTGGTCTTCATGCATTTTATGATAGCTGCGGACGTAGTACTCTTCATAACATGTACCTCTGGCCAACGGGAGCAGGTATCTACCATGACGAGAAGACTTTCACCACTGGGAAATGGTCCGCACAGATCGGCATGTAGAGTTTGCCATGGCTGACTTGTCATAGTCGTCATGTGAAGGGGCGGTGGTGTGGATACTGGACCTTGGGCTGGGCATGCAATGCACGTACGAATTAGCTGTTCTATGGCTTGGTCAATGCCAGGCCACCAGACCTTTTCTCTTAGCAGTCATTTTGTCTTCACGATGCCCTGATGCCCTTCGTGGATTAGTTTCAAATTTCGTTCTCGAAGAGACGTTGGCATCAAGATACGGGACCCGCGAAGGATAATGTCATCAATAACAGTCCGATCGTGTCTGATACCATGATATGGACGTGTCATACTAACCTTGGGCCAATTGTTCTTCATGATACACTCGCGAGGAAATTGAAGAACTGGATCTTGGTTGGTAGCTTCTTTTATTGTACTAAGAGACAGGGCCTTGGGAGCTGCATTCTGAGCGACAAACTGGACATATTCTTCAGCCGTGTTGCGAGTATTGGTTGTTGCATTGGGAAGTGGCAAACGAGAAAGTACATTCGCAGGATTACCAATTCCAGGTGAATACTTAACGCAAAATTTATACGGTTGCAGGCGAAGGCCCCACCGTTCAATGCGCGCAGGGGGTTTTGACGTCGGACTGTAGATTATTTCAAGAGGCTTGTGATCTGTATAGATGTCAAAGGTTGTCCCATATAGATAGAGGTGGAACCGTTCACATCCCCAGAGAACCGCCAAGGCCTCACGCTCAGTCTGAGAATAACGCTTCTCAACGGCTGTAAGAGTGCGACTTGCATAGGCTACTGGTCTGGTTTCATCGCCATGAGTTTGGGTTAATATAGCCCCCAGGCCAAATGGACTGGCGTCAACACGAAACTGAGTGTGGGCACTGGGATCAAAATGTGCCATGACGGAATTGCTGGTACGATTTTTCTGCAAGGATTCGAATGCATTTTGGTGGCGTTTGGTCCATGTAAATGGTACACCTTTGTGTGTGAGCTGTCAAAGTGGGGCTGCTACGGTGGAGAAATTTGGGATAAACCGGCTGCAGTAGTTCACAAGACCCAAGAAACTTCTGACCTCTGAGGCATTGGATGGCTTTGGAGCATTTCGAATGGCAGTCACAGTCTCATTGGTGGGTCGTATACCATTTGCCGAAATGGTATACCCAAAAAATGTGACTTCAGAAACACTAAATGTGCATTTGTCTCTATTGAGAGTCAGACCACACTCTTGGAGTGTTGCTAAGACAGTGTTAAGGTTATGATCATGTTCCTGTTGGGTTATCCCAAAAACAATTATGTCATCTGAGATGTTTCGCATCCCAGGGCACCCTTGGAGAGATTGTTGAATCACATGTTGGTATATTTCTGGTGCCGCAGAAACACCAAACATAAGGCGCTTGTAGCGATAGAGACCGGTGTGTGTAGCAAATGTTGTATAATGCCTTGATTGTTCGTCAAGTTCAATCTGATATTACCCCATCTTAAGTCGAGTTTTGAGAAAACACATGCACCAGTTAAATCCTGTAAAATCTCCTCTACAGCGGAAATTGGGTACCTTTCTCTGATCACTGCTGTGTTGACTCGACGCATATCTACATAGATACGGACCTCCCCATTTGGCTTGGGCACTACAACCAAGGGGGACACCCATGGTGTTGGCCCAGTGACTGGCTCAATGATATGTAAGCGCTGTAGCTCGTCTAGTTTTGCTTCTACTTTGCGGCGAACATGAAATGGGACACGGTGCTTGGCAACAGGATGAATTTTGGGATCAACATGGATGGTTTGTTGAAAACTTTTAGTTTGCCCATACCTTCAAAGACTTTGGGAAATTTAGCAGAAATTTTTGAAGAAATGTCTTCAGACTGTATGGAAACCGAGTTGGCAACATGCAGAAGGTCTAGTTCTGTAGCAGATTTATGACCCAAAAGGCACCCCGTTCCTCGGTTGTTGACTACTACAAAGTAACATTGTTTTGTTCACTCACCTGGAGAGCCTGATTTTGAGGTGGTGATGTATAGTTAGCTGGCTTTGGCCGACTCCGACATACCGAGGCAAAATGACCAACTTTGTTACAACTTCTACATGTTTTTCCATTTGCAGGGCATCGAACATCTTTTGCACGATGGCCCGTGTTGCCACAACAATAACAAGGCTGAGAACGCCATCTTGCAAACTCTTGTTTTGATTGATTGTATGGTGACGAATTACTAGCTCCTCGACTAGCTCCAGTATTATTAATGTGGCTTGGAGTTTCACGGCGAGAACCACCGGAGTTCTCTGTGTTGTACCTAGGTCGAATGGCATTGATGGAATCGCTAGGTTGCGTAAAGGGCTGTTCCATTTCTTGAGCTTGAAAATGAGACTGTTCAAATGCGCGGGAAATTGTCAATAGCTTCGAGAGGTCGATGTCAGGTTCGCGAAGTAAACGACGGCGAAGTTCTTTTGAAACACATTTATCAATTGCTTGATCACGAATAGCTTCGTCTGTTTGTTCACCAAAAACACATGTTTTGCTCAAAGTACGTAATCGAGTGACAAATACGTCCATTGATTCGTCAGGCTGTTGGGAAGCTTGCCGAAAAACATGGCGCTCGAATGGAATATTTCTTTTCGGTTGAAAATACTCGTTAAGTTTCTCGAGGGCAGTCTTATAATCATCGCCAGTGTTAGGCAGGGTTTCAAAGACTTCTTGTACATCAGGGCCAGCAAGGTGTAGTAAAACAGCACGTTTTTGTTTCTGATCAGTTACTCCAGACGCACGGAGATAATAATCGAGAGACTTTGTCCACTTTTCCCATCGTTGAGCAAGGGTTCTGTGATCCGATAGAGAGAATGGTGGTACAGCAGGTAAATCTAAAACTTTTGCCATGAGATTCTTTTATCCTCGTCGCCAGCTATAGTGTATAAAACACGCACAATATCGTTAATTTATTCTCACTCTACTTTTCTAAACAACGTGCAAGCTAGAACTACCCAGTACCCATAATACCCCTCAAGCATCATTAATGTCCTCAGTGTTCCTGTCGTTACTACTTACGTCACAGGACACTATACATTGCACCTTTAAACAAGTGCCCTGCTCTAATAATTCGTTCGGATTTAGAGGAATAATTGATTAAGTCCTATGAACATGTATTCCCATTAGATTTATGCCATTCACTGCAGGTAAAATGAATCCCGAGTTTTCGTCAATATAACCTCATCTCTACGCCACTTGTCCAATAGCCCTCCCCCTGTAACGAACCCGAAACCGTCGTGAGTTTAATATAGGTTTTTCGGGAACAAATGAGTTATACTTTGATTTATGTGAGTATCCAAATTATTTTGTATTCTGTTGACAATAATTTCTCGAGATGTGGACGATCTTACCAACTTAACTCCACGTCAGTATCTACAAATTTCATTTTTGTTTTTGCAGCTTTCTGTTCTTTTCCAATACGGATAACTACGGCGATATCGGTCAATACAATTTCACCTCAAAAACGTTATTGGAAGTTGTTCCTGATGGTCAATTTCCTCAAGATGTTAGCGTGGACGACACTGAACAAGTGGTTTACTGGACGAATTTCGTAAGCCCAGCCGATTATGCAGTTGAGAAAACATACTACAACAAGTCAACAGTTCGATGGAAACTCTTTAATGGACCAATTAATCCTATTAGACTTGCACAAGGAGAAAGGTATTTGTATGTTCTCAACCCAACCCATTCTCAATTGGAAGTGATTGATAAAGAAACTGAAGAAGTTGTTGTAACGTACGACGTGAAGTCAGGAACAAATGCAGTAGGAGCTGCTGAGGGTAAGTTCCGTGCAGGATTACCAAGTGGGCTGAGTAGGCTGAATATCGAGATTTTGTTGGCATCTCTTGTAGTTAGAAATCATTGAGTGCGTAATATATATATATATATATATATATATATATATATATATATATATATATATATATATTATATTTTGGTTTACGAAACACAAACAGTGCTCAATACCATATAGATAGAGCGTAATATAGTTTTTCGTTTTACCTCAAAACACCACAAATTCCTATACGGATGAAACAGACTGTCGTGGTTTTTTCAGGTAAAACGAAAAACTATGTGGTCTGCCGCGGCTGGGCCTCGAGCGTCGATCTAGTAATTCGAAGGTCGCGGTTTCGAGACCCAGCCGCGGTAGACAACATCTTTCTGCTTGCGCTGGGTATGGAAATTATATCATACACACTCTAGAACATTTTCATCTTAACATATTACAGAGTGCACAATTACACAACTAACATAACACTTGCAGAACTAGCATTGTTCGATGCTGAATTAATATAAACGAGTATGTTTATGACATTCAGTATATATTTCATAATTTCCAGTCTTAAATCCGTCTGACCGTGTAGCTCAGCAGGTAGAGCGTCGATCTAGTAATTCGAAGGTCGCGGGTTCGAGACCCAGCCGCGGCAGACAACATCTTTCTGCTTGCGCTGGGTATGGAAATTATATAATACACACTCTAGAACATTTTCATCTTAACATTTAACATATTACAGAGTGTACAATTACACAACTAACAATATATATATATATATATATATATATATATATATATATATATATATATATATATATATAGGCGAATGTCAATAAGTATATTGAGTGTCGAATCATAAGAATATAGAGTGCTCGATACAAAAGTAGAGCAAATAAAAGACAAGCTTGAGTTACTTCGTTTAAAACATTTATTCACAACAAATTTGTTTCGTATGGCAAGCTAGGCTTGCCACACTCATCAGGTGAATGGTGATATCGCGTATTTACATGATGTTATAACCTATAGGTAACTTGAGCTGTTATTTACAAATGTTTGACGTCATTAGGAAAGCGTAATCTGACTACTGGCTACAGAGCAGGAATTTTTTCCTGTGCCTACATGCCGATATTAGTTCGTTTCTTGAGTTCAATGAGCTTATAGTTCGGGATAGTAAATTATAACGAACTTTTCGTGCAGGCATAATTTACAACGTTTTGTTTTGTTTGAGTAGGCCTTACATTTCTTTAAAATTTTCCAACGAATAGAGTATTCTATGTTGGACTGTTTCAACTGCCAAATATATTTACTCAGTTCAGTTGAATGTTTATGATCCGGGTTCCTGAACGAGCTTGTATGGTTGTAGTATCTCACTTTAAATGGGCCCGCTGTGTGTCCAACGTAGGTTTCTTTCTGTTGGTTGTCTTTTCTCGTTACTGTGGCTTGGTATACAACGCTTTCGGTTAAACATTTGCCAGGGAGGGGGCAGGATTCTTCCTGACGGCAATTACACTTCCTATCGGGATTTTTAGTAGCCTCGGGCTGCTTGCGATCGAGTACAGTTCTGTTGTGCGCCGTGATGATATTGTGCACGTTGGGCATACAGCTGTAGCTTAATTTAAGATTGTTCCTATTGAACAGTTTATGTAAGGGATGGTGTGGTGGGAAGCATTCATCAATAGCCTGCAGAAATTTGTGACCGATGTCGGTGGCAACGTTGGCGCTGTAGGGAGGATTAAACCATATTACGTTTCTGCTTCTATTACGGGTCATACAGTCTTGTACCGCTATCGGCATGTAGGCACAGGAAAAAATTCCTGCTCTGTAGCCAGTAGTCAGATTACGCTTTCCTAATGACGTCAAACATTTGTATATAACAGCTCAAGTTACCTATAGGTTATAACATCATGTAAATACGCGATATCACCATTCACGTGATGAGTGTGGCAAGCCTAGCTTGCCATACGAAACAAATTTGTTGTGAATAAATGTTTTAAACGAAGTAACTCAAGCTTGTCTTTTATTTGCTCTACTTTTGTATCGAGCACTCTATTCTTATGATTCGACACTCAATATACTTATTGACATTCGCCTATTTCGCTCCTTTATTGTTGAGCACTCTACGAATTAATATGGAACCTACCAACCTTGGATACTCAACTAAGAACATACCTATCGCGCAGCCAAAGGAATACTTGAAATGTTTGGTCGAGAAAACAGAATCATTCCTACGACGCGTCAGATGGAAAGCATACCATTTTTTAAAGCCAACACAATCTGAGCCTACCAAAGAAACATTCGGGTTTAATACAACTAAATCCCCACCGCCAACCAAAGAGCTAAAAGCATTTGAAGGCAAGATGCTTTCACTTATCCAGAACGTCCAATTTAAAAACCACCACACCGAATTCCAGGACAAACTATCACAGGACTTGTCAAAAATTAGAGCAGACGAGAAACTACTTGTTGCTGCAGATAAAACCACAAATTTCTACCGTTTGGACGTCCCCACATATGACAAGTTAATTGATACTGCAATAACAAAAACCTACAAGAAAGCCCCGACAAAAACCACGGACAGAATAATATCTGATGAAAAGAAAATTACAAAAAGTCTTGGCATCGACAACCGTGTTGACTCACCAGCAACAAAGGACTCATTCATCACCCTGAAAGATCATAAACCAAATTTTTCCAACAACTGTACCTGCAGACTTAAAAATCCATCGAAATCTGAGATCGGGATTGTCAGCAAGCAAGTCCTTCAAAGGATCAATTCCAAAATTGTCAAATCCACCAACATAAACCAATGGAAAAATACTGACGCAGTAATAAAGTGGTTTAACAACATGCCTAGTAAATCTACCCGCTCGTTTATCAGCTTCGATATAGTAGATTTCTATCCGTCGATATCAGAAGAGCTCCTGAAAGAATCCCTAGCATTCGCCTCACAATACGACGAAATAACCGAAAATGAGAAAGCCATCATCATGAAAGCTAAGCAATCGCTGCTCTTCAACAGGAATACAACTTGGCGAAAAAAAACATCAGCCGATTCACTTTTCGATGTAACCATGGGCAGTTTTGACGGGGCTGAGACATGCGAGTTAGTGGGATCGTATCTTCTTTCACAACTAACGGCAGAGTACGGCAATGATATCGGTCTGTACAGAGATGACGGCCTCGCAGCCTTTGACAAAACACCGCGTGAAATCGAGACCATTAAGAAAAGCATTTGCAAAGTTTTCAGTGACAACAACTTGAAAATAACCATCGAAGCCAACAAAAAATGCGTGAACTATCTAGACATTACACTTGATCTCAGATCGTCATCTTACAAGCCATATATGAAACCCGGAAATACACCGCTATATGTCAACCACAACAGCAACCACCCGCCTACAATACTACGCAGCATACCAGATGCTATTAACAAGAGGCTATCAAACATATCCTCAGATAAGCAATCCTTCCAGTCGGCCGCGCCTCCATATCAGGAAGCCCTGCGAAAGAGTGGTTTTAACTACGTCCTTAATTACAATCCCCAGCCACCAAAGCCTAAACGTAATAGAAGCAGAAACGTGATATGGTTTAATCCTCCCTACAGCGCCAACGTTGCCACCGACATTGGTCACAAATTTCTGCAGGCTATTGATGAATGCTTCCCACCACACCATCCCTTACATAAACTGTTCAATAGGAACAATCTTAAATTAAGCTACAGCTGTATGCCCAACGTGCACAATATCATCACGGCGCACAACAGAACTGTACTCGATCGCAAGCAGCCCGAGGCTACTAAAAATCTCGATAGGAAGTGTAATTGCCGTCAGGAAGAATCCTGCCCCCTCCCTGGCAAATGTTTAACCGAAAGCGTTGTATACCAAGCCACAGTAACGAGAAAAGACAACCAACAGAAAGAAACCTACGTTGGACACACAGCGGGCCCATTTAAAGTGAGATACTACAACCATACAAGCTCGTTCAGGAACCCGGATCATAAACATTCAACTGAACTGAGTAAATATGTTTGGCAGTTGAAACAGTCCAACATAGAATACTCTATTCGTTGGAAAATTTTAAAGAAATGTAAGGCCTACTCAAACAAAACAAAACGTTGTAAATTATGCCTGCACGGAAAGTTCGTTATAATTTACTATCCCGAACTAAGCTCATTGAACTCAAGAAACGAACTAATATCGGCATGTAGGCACAGGAAAAAATTCCTGCTCTGTAGCCAGTAGTCAGATTACAAACATATATTTACGCTTTCCTAATGACGTCAAACATTTGTATATAACAGCTCAAGTTACCTATAGGTTATAACATCATGTAAATACGCGATATCACCATTCACCTGATGAGTGTGGCAAGCCTAGCTTGCCATACGAAACAAATTTGTTGTGAATAAATGTTTTAAACGAAGTAACTCAAGCTTGTCATTTATTTGCTCTACTTTTGTATCGAGCACTCTATTCTTATGATTCGACACTCAATATACTTATTGACATTCGCCTATATATATATATTATATATATATATATATATATATATATATATATATATATATATATATATATATATATATATATATATATATATATATATATATATATATATATATATATATATATATATATATATAGATATATATATATATATATATAAAGATATATATATATATATATATAGAGATATATATATATATATAGAGATATATATATATATATATATATATATATATATATATATATATATATATATATATATATATATATATATATATATATATTTCGTGATGTTGTCATGTAAGAGTTCGTTGTATGCGTTCAGTGACGTTTCGTAAATGTTTCTAGTTTTATCCGCGAGAATGAAAATGTTGGGGGATGAATTAATTTTCTTCAAATCGTTAGCCAAAGATGTCTGAAATTGGTCTTTAGGACGCCGGATTTTTACGTTTTCAATTAGTTTTATCAAGTCGTCTTCGAAAGGTTTCAAAAGTGGAATTGAAGGAGGCGGTTTGTTAGACGAAAGGCCGAAAAGGTTGCTTTGGTTTTGAGTCGTTGATCCTTTTAGGAAGAAATTAGCTTTCCATCTCGACACTAAACACTACATTGGTATGACAGCGACTACATTTAAGGAACGTTACGCTAACCACACTTCATCTTTTCGTCATAAAAAAGACTCAAACAAAACGGAACTTTCGAAATATATTTGGAAATTAAAAGAAAACAATCAGGATTATACCATCAAATGGTCAATTTTAAAACACGCTATTTCGTACACAGGTGGATCAAAACGCTGCAATTTATGTTTGGAAGAAAAATTTTGCATTTTGAAAGACATAAACAAAGACAATTTACTCAATAAAAGAAGCGAAATTTTCGGCAAATGTTGTCACAAAAACCGGTTTCGAGTAAACAAGGTCGTTAACAAAACCTAATGACCCAAGCATGCATTGTTTCACCTAAGCATTGTTTCGCCTACACACATTCCGCACATTCTTTCGATAGCATAAAAGCAACCTACAATTTCGAAATTATTCACCACCTGATGATTCCTATACGGATGAAACAGACTGTTGTGGTTTTTTGAGGTAAAACGAAAAACTATATTACGCTCTATCTATATGGTATTGAGCACTGTTTGTGTTTCATAAACCAAAATCTTAAGCTATATATATATATATATATATATATATATATATATATATATATATATATATATACAATGGTCAATACCATATAGGTTGAGCGTAATATAGTTTTTCGTTTTACCTCAAAACAACCACAACAGTCTGTTTCATCCGTATATTAATCGCTATATGGCCTTTTGTCATATTGAGCGCTCTACAGGATGAGCCTTGCCGCTTCCGCATTGCGCACGCTCACTGCTTGCAGTTTGAGCGCTCTGGCATGGTTTGATGTCCCACATTCGTGAGGCATCAAAGGTGACTGTATATAGCAGTCACTTTCATACGACAAAATATAATTTGCTAATACTTTAGAGTATTTTGTGTTTTTATCAATCCTTTACATTTGAAGAGAAGCCCAATGTGTGTTGGAACTTCTTAATTTTTTTTTGTCTTCAAATCTTTTTTCAATTTTCTGTGCACAAATTGCCTAAGTTCTGTCCCTGCAAAAATGTGAAATATTTTCCAATCTTCGAGAATGCTTTGGCTAAAGTACTCAAACAACGAATTTTTCCCCACAGTCCGCAGGAAACAATAAAGATATTTTTATCTGCAAGAGTGTGCATCAACATTATAAAGCCTCCAATCTTCAATAATTTCCCCGTTTTCGGTTACTCAATGATATAATTTTATATATATTAATGCTATAACATGGACCAAACTCAAAATATGTAAACGCAATCGGAATTTGTCGTATATCAATATAACCGGTTACAGACGATAGCTCAGTCGGTAGCTAGCATTTATGTGGAAATCCCTTTTCAATTCCTCACCATTCACGCTAGCCCAGCGTATGAATAACATGTTTTTGGGAAAAACTGGACTTTTGCGGTAGGTTACTCGAACTTGAGCGTAGTTGTCGGCGCTCAGCCCCTTCTCGACAAAACAGATATAGCTATAGACGCTTCCGCTGCACGGCTGATAGCGAGAATAGGATTGTTATATTGAATCTTTCGCTGCACGGCTGATATACCGACAACACGACAACAAACAGCTATACTTCTATTCTTATATACTGCCTCTATTAAGCCCGGAACAAACGAGGATAAGAGTGCAGGAGAGTTGGCAGACACGCCGTCTTGGTTAGGTGTTCTTCATGGTTTCCCAACACCATAATGTATTCCATTTAAGTATAAGCCATAGTTGGAAACTAGGGCAAGGTCATCAACCTTTGTTTTGTTAATTTAGAGCTTGAAATGTCCTCCGTATAACAATGCGTGATAACCATCTCTCATCAACACTCATCCTCATCTGAACGTGGTTTTATATTAGACACACCGATATAATTATGTTCGTAAATTTCCTTTGTCTTGGACTTGGCTACCGTTATATCCTTAATCATACAACTGCAAGAATGTTCGCAGATGATACAAGTATTAGTTATGCGTCCGACTCAGCCAAAGAGCTCCAAAATGTCATTAACACCGAATTGAAAGGTCTAAGCGATTGGCTAACCACTAATAAACTAAGCTTAAATATTGTAAAAACAGAATTCACGGTAGTTGGATCTAGACAGAGAATAAAACACTAAATAATGACAGAAATAGATATTGAGATAAGCGGTAATATGGTCAACCAAGTCACTCCAGTAAAATCTGTGGGTGTCCATCTTAATCACCTTATGTGGTCTGAGCATACTGATAAATTATGTAAAAAAAACGCTTCAGCCATAGGGGCTTTAAAACGTATAATATCCTGCATTTCAACGAACACGGCTATCCAAGTATACCAAGCACTGATTCAACCTCATTTTGACTACTGCTGCTCGGTCTGGGAT